ATGAATAACAACCTACAGAATGGGAAAAAATATTTGTTCTCTACACATCTGATAAAGGGCTGATAACAAGAATCTATCTAGAACTCAAAAAAATTAACAAGAAAAAATCAAACAACCCCATCAATAAATAGGCAAAGGACATGAACAGAAACTTTTCAAAAGAAGACAGAACAATGGCCAGCAAACATATGAAAAAAATGCTCAACATCTCTAATCATTAGGGAAATGCAAATCCAAACCACAATGAGATATCACCTAATCTCAGTGAGGGTGGCCTTTATTAAAAAATCCCAAAACAACAAATGCTGGCGAGGATGTGGAGAGACAGCAACACTCTTACCCTGCTGATGGGACTGCAAATTAGCGCAACCTCTGTGGAAAAGAATTTGGAGATACCTCAAAGAGCTACAAGTAGAACTACCATTTGATCCAGCAATACCACTATTAGGCATCTACCCAAAGGAACAAAGTCATCCTATAACAAAGACATCTGCACTTGAATGTTTATGGCAGCACAATTCACTATAGCAAGGATGTGGAAACAACCCAAGTGCCCGTCAATCCATGAGTGGATTAATAAAATATTGTATAGGTACACAATGGAATACTACTTAATTATAAAAAAACGATGGTGATCTAGCATCTCTTATATTTTCCTGGATAGAGTTTGATCCCATCCTCCGAAGTGAGATATCACAAGAATGGAAGAATAGGCACTACATGTACTTGCCATCAAACTGGTACTGACTGATCAACACTAAGGAGCTCACATGGTAGTAATATTTTTGGGGGGTTAGGGGGCTTAGAGGTGGGTAAACTCACAACTAATGCACGCAATGAGTGTTGTAGAGGGGGAAAGGGTACGTCTCAAATCATGGTTGGGATGTGGCAAAGTCATAACATATAACCAAAATGTTTGTACGCCCATAATTTCCTGAAATAAAAAAATTTACAAAAACCCCACAAAGTTTTAATATTTCTTCTTTAATCTAACAGCTTCACCCATCCATCCCCTCAATACACACACCCCTTTTTAAAACCAAGAAATAAATGAGTTGGGATGACTTCCACATCTGTTTTCCTTCATCCTCGTCCTCCTCTGATGCGTGACCTGCTAATGGAGTAAATGGCAGGAAGATTCAAGGAGGGAGGATATCACTAGATATGTGAATTCACAGACTGAAATAATTAGTTTGTGAAAACCCAGAGTTGTATGGACACAGTTAAAAACTCTAGGGCAATGAAAAGAGATATGAATTATAATCAATACTGTAAGTTTCATATAAATTCAGGTATCCTTCCCATGCCCACTAGTCAACCAAATAGGTGAACCTCACAAGATCCATTTTCTATAATAACCTTATACTTAGCTTAATTTTATCTTCTTACATATTCTATTAATACCTTTGCCTTGATCTCTTTATGTTGTGCATACGTTACTAAATGCATTTCAGTATACACTACCGAATTGTGAATGCATAATCCTAAATCATTTTTGGAACAACAGTATACACATAAACATTTGCCAAATTGTAGCAAAGACAAAGACAAACAAAATATCTCTATTATCAATCCTGTTTGGTTCAGGTTTTAAAACCTAGTGTTAGAGACTCTTAAATGGCTAAGAACACCAAGATTCAAAATATTTTAAGTAAATTTTAAAAGCACGATGCGCACACTTCTTGCTTTATAAATTGCCTGGGTTCAGCTGTTCTATATGAACATACCTATAATATGCTGTAAGGATACTCTGTAATGCTCAGGGCTTTTAAAAACAAACATGCTCCCTCACACTATTTAGGTTGCTTCAAGTAAATTTTTGGCTTCTGTGTCAAAGAAAGCTCAGTCTGTAAAAATAAAGATGTGTCTGTGCTCAAAAACCAGCCACAAGAGCACTCTGTTGAGTAGCAAAAGAGCCTCATGTGTCCCAGTCCTAGGGCTTATATTACTAATGATTAACTGTGCCTCTAATCATCCCCACCCCAAACGAATGCAGGGCAGTTAGAAAGAAATGTGCTTGCTATTTTTCAGCCTTTAGCCAGATATGGGTTTTTTTTTATGGGAGAAATAAGAGTTGCCAGGGGAGAGGTTTGAAAGAATCAAAGGTGACATGCACAATGAATAGGTTACTGCACTTGGCAATTAAAACTTTCTATCAAGCTTGTTCTCAAAATTGAGTACCACAAAGTGCACTCCAATATTTCTCTCTCTGTCTCTCTCTTAAATGAAAAGAATAGTGGAAACACCAACCTAGTGCTGGAAAAGCAGTTGGGAGATTCAGAGATAATTCACCCAGGGACCCTCAAGAACAAGAAGTGGCTGGTGAGCGACCTCACCTAGGAGTTACACCTTGTAAACAGAGGTGCTTTATCTTGGTCTCAAACAAGTTTGGAAGTAGCAGATTCAGGACAAGGAAAATCACTGGAAGATTTTTCAGGCCCCAAGATGAGGTTGGGATCCCACCCCTAATCATTAACAGAGTCAGAACCTTGACTGGATTAAGGAGTGTGGAGAGGTCCCCAAACCAAAAGCTTCTGGGAAGAACTGTCCTCCTGGGGGTGTACAGGCCAGGGCCACTCCCAGAACTAGGGAAGGTGAAGACCAAGAACCTCCCTGAATGGTATCATTCTACACAGGACTTCAGCAGGGCCAAAAAGGAACTCCCAAAGATAAAGTAGTTACCAGACCCCTAAAGCCCTAGCAATGACCCAGGACACCATTCTTGGGCCTCCTTCTCCCACCAAGCAAGATGATCCCAAGCAGGTATAGGGGTAGCTCGGGAAGAACACTGGGGTTAGACAAGCAGGCTCAAGTTGTTGTTCCCACCACCTGCGAGGTGTGTAACCTGGGCCATGACTTCAACCCCTCTCCTCTTGGCAAGGGGTGGGGAAACGGCTGGCTTAGC